CCCTTTATCACCCGCCCGTCAGAAAATGGGCTACTATGTTCTGCTCCGACTAAAGCTTTCCATATGGTCCATTCAGGCAGTCCCACATACAGGCAAGTCACAATAGCCCAGTCTTGAGTTGGCTGTTCTAGATATAGCAAGAGTGGACTAATCTTATCGATTTCTATGTCACCAACTTATTCCACCTGGTACTGAATCATTCAAATAGGCTGCAAATCAGGTGGGTATGCTTGCTAATGGGACAACAGCTTTATATCTGCAGTGTTTAACATACATTTCTGCCAGAAAATATATCCAACAAATGTTTTTAAAACGTTCTTTTAAATTTGTAACGTAAATTGAATGTTGAACAGAATGGCTAAGATCCTGAGTACAAATGCCGTGTTTGAAAATGTTTGTTACCAGACGGTTAATTGGTAACCAGCTACATGAAATGAGTTGATGGCATCAATTCAAGGCTTAGAGGACAGGTGTCTATACTATATTCTTGAGTCTATCTGTGTTAGATACATATGTGGGCCCAGTACTATATCATCTGAGTACATCACAGTCTTTAATGTATTTATATTCCCCAAACCACCGTAAAGTAGGGAGAACTGTTATCCCCATTTCACAGTTGAGGAACTGAGGCATACAGAAATGAATAGAGAGATTTTCAGCAAGGCTTACATTGATTTGATTATAGCTGGGCATCTAAGGTGTTATGAAAATCCCATTATAACTGACTTTCCCTAGGTCTCATGGGGAGTACTTGGAAGAGCAGGGAGTGGAGTTTCTTAAAGGCACATGCACACGCAGTGCACTGACTGGTATCCATGTTGACAGCCTCCGGGTGGTGTCACAAGTTCACCTGCAACAGTTGCAAGTCAGTGGAATGTAATGACCTATTTAAGTTAACACCTGTAGAAGATGACCCCCAAAGCCAAGAGGGCATTTAATATGTACTGAACTGCCTGACTGTGCCCCTGCTTGTATTTTAACTGCACTTAGTCAGCCTTACATTGAAAGTGTGACACCAGCTACAGAAGAAAGACCAAAAATGTCAAGGTAGGAAGAAAACCCACAACATGATTGAAGTACATTCCTAAGTTGATAAAGGAACTCTTATCTGCATCTTTTCGACAAATAAATACAGACTTTTGTCTGTAGGGCTAAAAACAGCCAGGGCTGATTGTCCTGGACTTTAAGTTCCATCAAACGGGCACATGAAGCTTGAATGGGCAATTAGCTTGAATTAGATGAATTATTGGAATGGGGGAAGGGTGGGGAGAAAGTTTTATCTTGGTTCTTCACAGATACTTAGGATGGGGCAATGGGCTTGTAACTCTGCAGGATCCTAAAATAAAGCTTTGTCCCTGGGGAAATCCAGTCCTCTGTCTTTAGCCTAAGACTCTAGTGAGGAAGGAAGGTATGGTGAGAAGGGTATTGGTCTGGATTTCAGGAAACTCCACTCCCTGCTCTTCCAAGTACTCCCTATGAGACCTAGGGAAAGTCAGTTATAATGGGATTTTTATAATACCTTAGATGCCCAACTATAATCAAATCAATGTAAGCCTTGCTGAAAATCTCTCTCTTCATTTCTGTATGCCTCAGTTCCTCAACTGTAGAATGGGGATAACAATTCTCCCTACTTTACGGTGGTTTGGGGAATATAAATACATTAAAGACTGTGATGTACCCAGATGATATAGTACTGGGCCCATATAGGTATCTAACACAGATAGACTCAAGAACAAACAGCTTTAAATTCAATCACTGTTAAGAAGACATAAATTTAAAAGAAGAATAAAGATGTTCAGTTCAATCCATGGCACAACAGGTTTTTGTTCTTGCTGTTTTTTTTCCAAGCTGAGAATCTGGCCAGTAATATGTAAAAGGTTAGTTCAATGTGATTTGTAAAAAGTTGTGCTATGTGAAAAAACTCTGTTTGTGTAGAAGCATCAATGCCATGTTTTCCAACTGATAATCCACTGTCTTCAATAGTCTCCTTGTCTAAACAGTGGATAGCTAATGACAAGAGGAGAGGTCACACAGTATGTAAACTACAAAAATATTTTCCAGGTGAACAGTGGAACTAACTAAAGAATAAACTGTATTCTGCAGCCAGAATCATTTATAAAGTATTTCTGGGCAGATATATGATGCTATACTATACTGTGGCAGCTACTAATATAAAAAAGAAAAAAGAAAAGTACAATGACAGCAAAATGAGAAGGAATATTGAAGGAGAAAAAAGACTGGGAAAGGGAAGGAAGAAATAAAGAATTAAAGGGAAGAAAAAAGACAGATGCTGAGGCAAAAGGATGGGAAACAATAATGTTTAGACCAAAAGTCAAGAAAGCAGCAGCCTAAGGGGGCCCCATTTAGCACATTAGTCCCCCACATAATTTTTCACTGAGGTTATGCTGATCATCAAAATGCAGACATGAACTATTATGTTTTCTGTTTGCCTAGGCCAGTATTCAGCCATTCAATCAATCACTGTGTTTTCCCTCTGCTAAATTAGAAAGAATCAAATAAAGAGGAGCAGCATTTAAAACAAATCAAGCAAGAAGGCCCTCAAACATTATATTCCCTCAAGCCATTTAAGTTCAAAGAAGATTTACTCCCACCCTTTCCTCAAATCCACTGAGAAATACTAAGAGCATGAGTGAAGATTTAATGCTGAAGCTCTCTTTGTCATCACTGATGTTAATGAGGGAGTGCTGTCCTGTGCACTGACAGCAGGATTCAGGCCAGGGTTTCCAGTGGAGGATAATACACGTACCCAGCATATCAGGAGAAATTTTTGGTGTATCATACATGTACATATTTAGAACACGCATTGCAAAAATCTTTATGCAAATTACCTTAAATGCATTGTAGCAATTTATAAAAATTGGATTTTGTTTGAGAAGTGAGTTTTCAATTAAAAAAAAAAAGAATTCTGATTAGATCAAAAAGTGATTGACAAATGTAATTTAGTCATATCTATGCTCTGCTTTAATTGTATGAGCCTATAAATCACATTAAGCCATTATTGAAAAAGAAAACCCAACAACAAATTAAATGACCTTCAAATAACAAATCAATTTTGTTTCTTAATTTGTTAAAAACAAACAAGCAAACAATACACACACACAGGCTAAGAACTGGTATCAAGCTTGAGAAAGACTCCAATGTTCATGTGTGACTTGTAGTTCTTTTACAAGGAAGTGAAAAAAAAACTAAAGGATAATTATAACAGCAGCACTGGATGCTTCTAAAATAAAATAGCTTTTGGTTGATGTGCAGCTACGTGATTATATTCCCACCACCAGTCTTTCAAATCCAGCCCCTTTTGCAGATGTTTATTCTTTTCTCTCCTGTTTGGTTATTATGGTTCATTATGTTGAGGGCCTAAACTGATTGAAATGTTCACTGAGATGAGTGCTGCAGTAAAACATGTAAAAAAAATTGAAATGCAGCTAAACAAAAAAAAAAATAAATAAAAAAAAACCACAGAGAGGGAGAGAGGAGGAGAGGGAGCTTTTTATAACTCTCTAGCACTGATTGCTGCATCAGAAACTGTGCACAAGAATGGGTGGGGGAGGCTAAATGCATGGCTTTTTAAGACAACAATAAATCATACGCCATATATAGGCCAAAAATGAAAGAGGCTCTGTGTTCAGATGTAAACTTCTGGCAAGACCTGGTTTGTTGTCAGGTTCCCAGACACAAAATAGACGCTCTGTTCACTTAGCATGAAGCCCTGCAAGGAGCAGAGAGCTCCGGAGACTCTTGGCTCTTCTCAAGTCTGATTAGGTCTGCATATTAATGACTTGCAGCAATATAAAGGGGCTCTTAGTGGCCTTCTTTCTCTCTGGTGTCTGGGTTTCCCATGGTAAAGGGACAGTGACAAAAGCAGTGAGAAGGCACAGCACACTAGCAAAGCAGTGAGTCCTGGCAGGACCAGCTCCTAGCTCAGGTGAGGCAAGGGCTGCCTTTTTCTCTTGATGCTTCTGAAACTGCCAAGAGGGGAAAAGAAGGTGAAAAGTGAGGGAGATGGGAATCACCTTACACAAATCACTTGCTGCAAAATATTTTAGGGGATGTAAAAGAATGGGGAAAATGGCTAGTGTAATTAATCTTGGGTTCACACAACTTTACTGTACTGACTGTGACCAACTGTCAAACATCAGCACTGTGTGTCTGCATATGTGCATCACACATGGATGCATGCACGTGTGCACAAATGTGCACGTATGTTAATGAGCCAGTTATTTCCACAGAAACACTGAACTGCTGTCTTAAAAAAAAGCATGTTAATGTAAGAGCAAAGACAGACAGCCACACGTAATTATATTCCTTGACACATTTTTAAGCCATACATTATCATGATATGGTAGTATGCTTAAACATTTTTTTCCACTTCACAAGACTGAAGACATGACCATCACAGGCTGTATACTCATTAATGTGGAGATTGTTGCACCATGTAGTCCCTTGATCTGAATGATAAACAATCCTTAAACAATCTTCAGGTATCAGACATCACATATTCAAAGCACTCCGTGCCTCTCTACCAGGCCCCTGCAAAAATCTTAACAGCCTAACTGTCACTCAATCCCAAAGCTCATTCTTTCTCCCAGGAACTCCCCCCTAAGCTTCATACACTATGCCAGCTGAAGCTGCTAGTAAACAAAGTGACCTAATGATCTAAAATCCCTCAAATCAGTCATTCAAAAAAATCTACAGTCTGCTGTAAAATGTACTAACTACTTTGCCTTAAGGTGCAAGAAGGTTTCCTAAAGCCAGTGATACAAAATAACTTATAAAACACACCTGCAGATCAGGGTTCAAAGCCACTCTCCTGACTCTCAGCGGGAATGTCAAGTTGACCCAACAACATAACCATTCATGCATGATGTATGTGCACCTGCAAACTCATACTTCTTCTCATACTTACTGATACACATAAGAAAGCCTATCTGGCTTTCTTATTACAAGAGCAAATATTTAGATTCTTTTCTCAGACTTACCAGAGGATTGACCTCGATTAGTGGCATCATGATCACTGTCGCCTTGCTCACTGTCTCCATGACCACTGTCTTTAGAGCTTACTATGTCTGCTTCCTGGAATGCAGAACTAGAAACATAAAGATTCTCAATATTAGAATAAACATGGAAGAGGAACTCATAAAACATTCTTCTGCCATCACATGGCCACACAAGGTGCTGCATTCACCCAGACCTCCTTTCTGCAGCACTACTTCTGCAGAGTCTGTCTGCCCATCATGAACCAAACTTGCATTTTCAAGCACTAATAACCCAACTGAAACAAACAGTGGCCGTTATTACACCACCTCTCTTACATACAGCTGTTATAAATAATTTGGTAGCATTTGCTTATGCTGGGAAGCTAAATTTGCATTCAGATAAGTCAATATTATCTGTCAGAACCTACAGAGTGATTCATAAGTATTTAAAGCATGTTTGAGATGAGTACAAAATTAGATTTTGCTCTCTTTTCAGATGGCATACAACCCATAACTCAGATATATTCACTTGGCACTGCTTATTTAATAGCATGTCTAAATAAATTCATTTATCCATTGCTTAGCTAGTACTGAACATTTCTGCATCCCATTCACACTCCCTAAAGCACATATTAGAAGCCAGGAATAAGGAACTCATACCTGTTTACCCGTCGGGGTCTATCAACTAGATAACTGAGCTCTGCACGCTGATGCTTTGTCTAGAAAGAAATGGAAACATTTGAACTCTCAAAATCTTGACTACTATTGACAGCACATGGCACACCAGAACTGCCAGGCACATTAGTTATTATCTGTGGTAGATGTACACCTATAGGTAGGCCATAAATAAGCATTTCTATAGGAGTTAAATCCTGAAGGCCTTACTTGTGCAAGTGGGAACACAGATCGATAACTAGGGATTTCCCTAAGTTACTGAGGCCCAGTATCTGATACTTTTATTTGCACTGAATAGTATCTGACACTACAAGTAGTCCCACTGAAATCCATGGGACTGCTTCTGGAAGGGGAGAAAAATGCTCTATTCCCTGTGAGCAAGGGTGTTACAATCTGATTTGGAGTATGTTCTATAAAAAACCTCAGTATACAAGCAAAATGGAGACAGAAAAATCATGGGAAAGACAGAACTCAGCCTGGGGGGGCTCTGGTGTGGGGGAGGAGAAGGGAGAGGTGAATAAGGGACACCCTGTAGCCCAAGGACAACAGAAGTCACCTTTTTACAGATACCTGATGAAGGATCAACAGTAAAAACCAGCATTTAAAAACCTTATTGTGGAGTGAAACGTTTTTTAAAGAAAATAAGACTTAGAAATGCCTCAGCTGGCCTTGGAATACTCAATAAATCAGTATTAAGAAATAACATGCCTCTTTCAGGGTGGTACGCCACCACAGATGTATTGGTGTACCCTTTAGCATAGTGGAGACAAAATGCTTAGCAGTAAGCCTCCGCATACGTTTCCAGGACATAATACAGCATAGAGAACACAGACAATGGGAGGGAGTGCTGAGCTTTGACACACGATTTCAGAGCAATTATTTAGTGATTATTGTAATTTTCAAGTCCTGCTTCAGTATGCAGAAGAACTGTTTAGCCAGAATCATGAAAAGTTAAATTAATAAAAAAAACCAAAGACTTTCCTTCTCAAATTAATTAAAGCTTTTGCCAAGTGTAGAGGTGTTCACAGCCTTGGAGGAAGGTTCCCCTTCCCCCTGCCACAGACTTAATCATACATGAAAAGACTTCTGGAAGAAAATGTAGACTCTTGACTCTTTTGCTGTTAAATGACTGAGTGCACTGCTTCTGCAATTTCATAACTGATAGTTGCAGCAGTTCTGCAAGGAGCAGTGCCCAGAAGAAAAGAAAAGGCATTCATTTTCAGCAACCAGTTAAAAAAAAAAAAAAAGATCTGGTGCATCATTATGTCACTTGAAATATCAACACGGCCTGAACTAAGTAAGCTTCATTCAAATTCACACGGTGTGGGCTTTTGGCTGTGACTGTTTCTGAAAGGCTGGTCCAGTACACCACAGCTGGCTCCCAATGCAAAGATGCCACTGCTTCCCACAGTAGTTTCAACAGTGACATGCTGCTTCAGCAACGTCACAGCTGAAACTACTGTGGGAAGTCAGACTTACCTCTGGTGGGCATGTGGTTAAAACCAGGGAAGCATTAACATCAAAGGGACAGGAGTGGGTTTCAAAAAAGGGAGTTGGGGGCTGGGGGCAGGGAATTACTCCCAGGCAAAGGAAGGCCAGCAGCCTCATGAGAGGAGAGGAAAACCAAGCTGGGGCTGGAGAGGGAGCAACTGCAGTGCAGCTGGATAGGTGAGAGTCAGGGGTGGGAGAGCAGAGAGCTTGCAGGTGCTGAAGAAACAGCAGCAAAAGAATCCTAGAAAGTGAGGGTTGGAAGGGACCTAAGGAAGGCATCAAGTCCAGTCCCCTGCCCCAAGCAGGACCACCTCCAACTAGATCCAGTCCCCTGCCCCAAAGCAGGACCACCCCCAACTAGATCTAGTCCCCTGACCCAAGCAGGACCACCCCCAACTAGATCCAGTCCCCTGACCCAAGCAGGCACATGTCAACTAGATCCTGTCCCCTGACCCAAGCAGGACCACCCCCAACTAAATCAATATCCCTTCCCCAAAGCAGGACCACCCCCAACTAGATCCAGTCCCCTGACCCAAGCAGGACCACCCCAACTAGATCCTGTCCCCTGCCCCAAGCAGGACCCCTCCCAACTAGATCCAGCCCCCCTTCCCCAAAGCAGGACCACCCCCAACTAGATCATCCCAGCCAAAGCTTTGTCTAACCATGTCTTCAAAACCTCCAAGGATGGAGACTCCCCCACCCTACCTCACTGGGTAACCTGTTGCAGGGCCTCCACACCCTCCTGAACTTTTCAGTGGCCCCGAAAGAGCCCGGGGGGCTGGGAGAAGGAGAGAGGAGCAGGGCAGGAAGGGAAGGGAAGGGAAGGGGCAGCACTGGGGAGGGGAGGGAAGGGGAGAGGAGGGGAGGGAAGGGGTAGCAGGGGCTCACCTCGCTGGACAGGATGCTGCCGTTGGAGATGATGTCGGGCTGCTGGTCGGCGTAGGCGGTGACGATGGCCCCGCACGGGCTGTGCTCGGCGTCGGCGCTGCGGGCCGGGCTGCAGGGTTTGAGGAACATGAGGTCGGTCTTGGCGGACTCGGGCGTGAGGCAGACCTGGTAGCAGTAGTTCTGGCTGTGGTGGTGGGAGCCGAAGCCGGGCGCGTCGTCGGCGGGGCCCTGCGCG